TGACCTTATTCAACTGCCTATAGTCAATACAAAGGCGTAATGCTCATCCTTTTTCCTTACAACAACACGAGTGCACCCTAAGGTGACACACTAGGCCTAATGAACCCTTTGTCAAGCAAATTCCGTAATTGTTTTTTGAGCTCCTTAAGATCGGTTGGTGTCATCCTATATGATGGAATTGATAGTAACTTAATTTCGGGTACAACCTCTATGCAAAACTCTATGTCCCTCTATAGAGGTAACCTTGGCCATTCTTCTAAAAACATATCCGGAAATCCATTCACTATTGGCATATCTTCTATATTTAGCTCCAAAGAGCTTACATCTCTTACAAAAGCTAAGTAACCACAACAACCCTTATGTAACATACATCTAGCACTAAGTATTGATACAAGGTTGTATAAAGTCGAACTTCGATCTCTACGAAACTAGAATTCGGCTCATCCGGCGTGTTAAAGTTCACAATCTTTTTATTATGATCGAGAGATGCATGATATTAAAACAATTAGTCCATTCTTAATATTACATCAAATTCTATTAACTCAAATAATAAGATATACACGAGAAGATCTTTCTCCTTTATCTTTGCTTTGTAAGATCGATATACCAAATTTATCTCTCGTAATCTCTCCTCGCTGGAATAGACATTACTAAAGACTCGACTAATCTCTCCGATCGTTTACCCAACCTCTTGGCTAAGAATGGGGATATAAATAAGTGAGTAACCCCAATGTCAAATAATACCTATGCATTAAAAGAATCAATAAGAAGTATATCTAACACCACATCATTAGAAGCCTAAGCATCTTGTCTAGTCAAGGTATACACCTTAGCTTGTCCACGTCCTATAAAACTCTAATCTCTTACCCGTCCACCCTAACCTCTGCCTATCCGTGACTAACCTCTACTAGCTTGTATTGGTCCTCTAACACCAAATCCTTTACCTCCCGAACCATGTCGACTCGCCCATCAATCTAATTGATCGCATAACTCTAATCGGATGATATAAGTGCATATCCATATGAGAAAGTATGATATGACAAAAATGATGGACATTCTCTAGTAAAATGACCATTTTGTCTATAATGGTAACATCCACTTTACCCGACTCTACACTAACCCCAATGCATTTTGTTATAAGTTGGACAATGAAAAGGAATACGAGCCCTTTATCCGGACTAGTAAGGAATGCAAACACTCGACTTGCTTGAGTTGAGCCCTAATGGTTATAGCTCATAGATCCTCGACTTGTCCGGACTAGGAAGGAAGGCAATCTATCCGAGATAACTCTATCGGTAAGGCACATTCTACGGCCTCTGCATAGGTGGTGACCACTTACAACAATAAAAAATGCATGAGTCGTGGCATTGAACCACCTATAAATCGAAACATCTTTTACTCTTCTATGCTTGATTGAATAAGGAGTATACCTACTCAACTCCACAAATTGTGCATCATACTCGGTAACGATTATAGAAACATCTTATCTCAATCTCTCGAAATCCAATGTCCTTTACTATCTAACACTCTTTAGTAAAAATCTATCCATGAAGGCCTTACTAAAATCCTCTCAAATCTAGTTGGATGATCCCTCGATCTTAAACCATAGTTTAAGTATTCCAATCAAACAAAACTCGAACCATCCGTACCGACTTCCAAGAACTATAATCCAATACTTTACGCATCGCATCTATCTCCTCTAAAAACAAATGAGGATCCTCATCATGTTTTCTTTCAAACCCTAATGGCCCGAGTTTTAAGAACTCGAATAATGGCACTTCATCCTCATTAGCACGTGAAGAGAATGTTATTATCCCTCAATGTGCTTGTACCTTCTCATGCTGTGCAATGCTATATGTTAATAAATTCAAATTTTGGGCAATATCTTATGCCCTTAGAGTGACTGTAGACCCAGTCACTCCTTCCACCTCTGCCTCTCTCTTGCCTATCATGAAATCTCACCTACTATGCTTGCTACCCAATGTGACATGTAGGATAGCTAGGCTAGGTGCTGTATGTGGGGTTCTACCACCCCTACCACGGCCTACATTAAGGGTTTTTCCATCCATGCCACCTCTATTGTCTCTAGGCTTCGTCATCTAGTAACAAAATTAGTCCTAATCAATATCATATTTATAAACGGATACTTAATATACTTAACCTAATAGAATAAGAAACGTTACATAGGAAGTAAGATCCAATGAATAACTCAAACATAATTTGAAAACCTATAACTACCTATAGTACCACGATGTAAGACCAAAGACTTATCTTGTAACTTACTAGTTCAACATGAAAGCAATATCCGCCAAGCCCAAACCATTGCTTTGATACCAACTTTGTAATGACCTACACTAGCAAGTCGCAATCGGCATATAGCCCAAGGTAGGGTGACCTACCATAAGCAATGTAAGCCTTATTTTTCTCTATTGCTTACTAAAATATTAGCGAGCATTTCCCAATAAATGAAAGGTCCCAAAAATAACATATTCCGTATAAAAATTCATAGATATACATGTACTCGTCAAATCATTCTTATTAATGCTAAAACATCATCAAGTCCATCCATTGAACATCCACACTTTCTCATAAATCTCATTAGTTGCTAAATTAACTAACAACCATATAACCCAAGGTTAAACATAATTAAATCCACAATTAGCCATTTAACCAATCAAAATACAACATATATGGAGAACCTCAACTAACTGGTCTAAGATTTGGTGATATTACCGATGGAACAACTAAGTAAAATGAAATTTACAATAACCGATTACAATGCCCAAAATAGATCATGAGTACAAAACTAAAACCATCATGTCCTATACCCGGAGGAAGCAAAAATATTCGGGTAGTACCTCTAAATCCAAAGAAGAAAAAAGTATCATCCTCCTCTTAAAATCTAGCTCCCGTGTTATCTACAAAACACCTGGAAGTTGGGGAATGGGTTTTCAACACTCGGTAAGCATAACACATATTATAAATCGCTATACATATAATTTCATATACATTTTACTTTCATATAAGAGGTTAACTATTTATATAACCTATCAATTATGCCAACGCATATGTAATACATAATTTGCAACCATTCAAGCTATTAATAACTTCTTTACTTTATTAACAATTAATAATAGCATTTCAACTTGAAATCATGCTATGCGGAACAAACCGTGGCTCCTTGATGGGGTAACTATGGCCTACGAGGGGTAACTATAGCCGTAAAGTGTAAACTATGGCCCTCGAGGGGTAAACTCTATGGGAACCATAATGGGCATTCCCTAGCTCGCAATACTAGGTGTACCTAAGCTACTATAACCTATTTAGCTTTAGTTACTTATGTATAGAATTTTCTTCAAGCCATCAATATCATTATGCTCTTTTTGTACTTTATCAATCACATATTTTCATTTAATACTAGTGCTCCTTATATCAACATGCATATATATTATTTCAATATACTAACATCTCATCTAAAATCCATAATTCATATTGCAACATACAAACAATTATCTATAACAATTAAACATATTATATATACATCAAATTTTCACCTCACAAGCAATATATAATATTAAGACCTATAATATGTGATATATTTACCTCCAATCAAGATGAACCCACAAAACTCAAGTGTCTCCTCCTTAGATGACTTCCTCTACTAGATCCTCTCTCACGTCTATCATAAATTTACATTTACCATAAATAACAACAATTGGAATCTAACAAAATAAAATTTAAGCTTAATTAAATCCTTAATTACCCATTTATTCATTTTTCCTAAATTTCTAAACTTACATGAATCCTATTTTTAATTAAATCCTAATCTCCAATTCTAATTCCTAATTTAAGATGTAATTTACTAAATAACATGTAACTCATCTTTAATTTGATGATATTATTAGCCAAAACTTTCAAAAACAAACTCAATAAATCTCTTCTCCTCCTATTTTTTATTTCTTTTTTCTCTCTCTTCCTCCTCTTCTTATTTTTTTATTTTTCATTTTCTCACCTGAACTACTTTACTGGTGCTGTTACCAGAGTTGTTGTCGAAGTTGATGGCCGCCAACGGATCCTCTCCTTCTCTTCTTCTTTTCCCGTCTTTCTTTTTTGTTTTGTTACTTTTCAATTGAAACCATATTGCTCCTCTTTTGTTTCTCATTTTTTTTATTTTTCATTTGTAAAGTTATCCTATTGCCCCTCACTTAAACCCCCATTTAACTCATTTACTTGGGCATATGGGCATTACACCAATAGGCCTTGAACCATGCTCTGTAAAATAAATAACGAAACTACTAAAACTTGATGATGGAGAAGGCAGATTTTTGTTTTTTCAGAATGAGGAGGCATCCTGTGTCTTTGTCAATGCTCTGTAAGCAAAAGAAGAATGTCTTGGTCATAGAAGTGGAAGTGAGGGGACCAGGGCTGTCTGGTGTCCTCAGTCTTGCATTATTAGCTCATCAGTATGTCAATTCTTTCATAGGGCACTGAATACAGTGGTTCTCATCACAACTCCGACTCTCTCAAGACCTTAAACTAAAATGTGCAATGCGTTTCTGCGTGACTAGCACAGCTGGAGAAACTTCTAGCATGGAGAGAGGTATTTTGACAGAGTACTGCAGATGAAGGCTTAAAATGCACAGGACTAGAAAAATATATTTTCAACCATTTGCATACGCACTTTTGGAAACTTGATTGGTGAATAACTAAAATATTAAGAGTTAAAACAATCCCAGTTGTGGGATTTATTATTCACTGAACATCTAAAATTTTTGGGAGATTTTAGCAGATTAGACACACAAATTTCACAATCTCAGAAATACAGGAAATGCCTACAAACATGAGCCATAGGAAATACAACTCCCACTACCACACTACTGAGACTCATTTCGTCAATCCTAAATCAAAAATCGATAATTAGAATACAATAGGAACCTCATGTCCCAGCCAAACCACAAAATTCTGCCAGGACTTCAGAATCCAAGCTCGATCAATGCCCCCTACGTGACAATTTTCACAGCCTTTCTTTTCTTCATCAAATCAGCTCTTGATTCCATCTTCACAGGCACTGGAGCAGAGAAAACTAAACTCCCATTTTGATCCAGGCAATACCCATTACTTTCAAAATCACCACCATTTCTCAGATTCCTTCTAGGATTCCTCTCACTATCACTGCTCTGTGCTGATCCACCATTCTTCAAAAGAGCTTCCTCGTCATTCTCAGCACCCTTAGAAAATCCTTTTCTTTCCTCACCTTCAGCAAAATGACCCTCCACAGCCTCCCCACTATCATCACTGGAATCACTCCCATCAGTGAAACTACCATCTCCATTTAGGACTGAGTCATCGGTGTCACTAATAACCCTATAAACATTCCCATTTTCATTAAAACTAACAGTTTTCTTCACTCTAGGTTGACCACCACGTTTTTTCAACAAAATATCATGCTTTCTGTTAACAGAAACTTTTCTGTTTACCTCTCCCTCATCATCAACAATGAATTGCTGAAACCCTTCAAGCTCAACATCTTCTTGATCGTTTTCACAAACCCTTGAAAACCCACTAATCTTTTCAACTCTTTTCCTCAATTTCTCCACTATTTCCTTCTGATTCTCACTCAAATTTCCATAACCACCATTACCATTCTTGGCATTCAAATTCCTAGCTCTGTTACTATTCCCTAAAAACCTCACATTCCTAGCAGATTTATACGAAAGTTCATGCCTTTTAACTGCAAACCCATCAATGAACTCCAAAAACCTTACCAAATCTCTAGTAACTGACCTTTTCCCATCTCTGATCATAGGATCACCACCCTACAAACAAAAGCCACAAATCATAATCTCATAAAGAATATTAAAACAAAATATGAAAGAGACCCATCACTGATATACCTGAATGGAGTCAAGTTTAAGCAGCAAGTCCATGGCTTTATGAGACACAACCTCAAAATCAAAATGGGATTTAGTAGAAATGGAAGATTTGAGAGTGTTAAAACTGGATTTGATAAAAGCAAACTCCTTGAGCTGCCTTAGGGTTCTTGATCTGTGAACAAGAAAGGCACGAAAACGAGTTTGAATAACACGTGCAGCTGTGTCTCTGAGAGAATGTGAAGGATAGTAGTTATGGTTATTAGGATAATAAGTAGAAAAATGGTGAAGTGAGGATTCAAGAGTGTTGATTCGTTGAAGAAGAGAAGAGAGAACAAATTGGGTTTGTTGAGGGTCATCTTCTTGTTGAAAATGTAGCTTTTGCGGGGAAAAGTTTGGCTTTTGGTGATGATTTTTTTTGTGGCAGTTTGGCTTGTTAAGACAAGGAGAGAAGAGATGGGGTTGGTGGTGTTGTTGCTCTTGCTGCTGCTGCTGATGATGTAGGAGAGAAATGAGGGACTGGAGAAGTGGGTCAGTAGATAATTGTGGTGTTGGTGGTGGTGAAGGGTGGTGAGGTTGGATGAAACAGCAGCAAATGGTGGTGGTGGGGACGGAGAAATGGTTTTCGCAGTGGTGATGGTGGTGAGGGTGAGAGGCCATTTTTTTTTTTTTTTTTTTTTTAGTCAAGGGGGTAGAGACAGAGATTTGGAGGGTTCTGAGTTTTGACAGATAAAAAGAAAGGGCTCTAGGGAGAACCTTTTTCTTTTTGATGAGCAAAATAAAGCGATGGGATCAGCAAAATTTTGTTGGGTTTTATATTGTTATCTTACACAACACAACAACAAATAGGAAAATAAATAAAAATTCTTATCATCTGTAACGAGATATGAATTGATAATGTTGTACTCAGTACTGGGTTGCACTGAGAATCCACGTGACCAAACAAATGGTTGACCAGAGATATGAACGTGTGTGTATTTACTCCGATCGTCCATTGGTATTTAAACCTTGATTCTTGGTGGTCACCAACGCTAGGGTACTAGTTCGATAAATCTGTTCGATTTCGAATTTTTTTATCGGTTTTTGATTAGTCGAATTACCTAAAAAATAATCAAAATCAAATCAAATTATTAATCGATTCTTCGGTTCGATTTTGAAATATATAAATTTTTTTATTCGATAATTCAGTTTTCATCCGTAATTCTCTATACTTTTGATTTTTGAAAGAATCATGCACTTTCGAAAAAATAAATTTAGTATTTGCATTGTGATTTTTAAGCTATGTTCCTATATGTATGCGTTTTTCAATCTCATTGAACTCTGTCTATTTACTATTATTTTACTACTCCTCAATAGGCATTACTAATGTATATATCATATATATATATATATATATATATATATATAATACGAGATGTCATCGTTACCATATAAAGTCTAATAATATATAATATATGTTATTGTCTATCGATATCGATAGATAATACCGTCAAATATGTGTTACAATTAAGACATTTTAATAATTTCTTCTAAAAAGAAACAGAGCATGCTTTGAAGCTTGAATATAATCGACTTATTTGTCTTTATAAAAGACACTTTTAATTAACTTGACGTAATTAGAACTAATAATTTTTGGTAACTTGTTAAACACTACGATCATAAGCTAACATTTGCTAATTAAATGGTAATGTTGTTTTTGAACAATGAAGAACGTTAAAACTTTAAACACTCAACTTTCTTTAACGCAATTTTAAATTATATATGTTTACTAAAAAGAGACATACTAACTATTATCGGTGTCCATAAATTAACTATTTTTTTCACATAAAAAAAAACACTATCTCACATCTTTTTTTTTTAAACTATAAATTGAATCAAGAAAGAAATTATGTACATCCTTGGACAATTATAAACAAGAATTGGTTATTGTCATTTGGCGTTGGGCTAGTTGGCTCATATAATCAATGCAACAAGAATTGGTTATAGGCTAATTGATTTAACTCCAATTGGCTTAGGTTTGCATGAGAGTGAGGTGAGGGGGTGAGGATTGGAATAAACGACGTTGTTCATCGATTAATTTTTAAAAAAAATTAATAATTTCGGTTATTTGGTTTTAACCGAATTAAAAAACAAAAACCGAAAACGAAAACGAAAAACGACTATATTTTGATTCGGTTTTTTTTTTCAGTTTTTTTTTAAAAATCGCACCGAAATTGATATTTCGATACGGTTCGATTCGGTTTTTATCGAATAGTGAACACCCCTAACCAACGCAGACCTTCGGTAAGTTTTTTGCTAATTTATTTCCACCGTATTAATGATTGTCAAAAAGAAAATTTCCTCTTTTATTTATTTTTCACAAATATTGATTTTGTAAATTTATAAAGCATTGTGAATATATATATATATATATATATATATATATATGGTTTAAGATGTGGTAGTCTAAGAGATCCGTAGATATTAGGGAGAGGAATTACTTGTAAGGGACGAAGTTCTGACATGGGCAGCAAATTGCCATATTTTATTCTTTTCTTCCTGCCGCCGATTATTTCTCCCGTGTCTCTTTCTTTCGTTTTAGGGTTGATTATGATGCATTATTTTGAATCATTGCCTGGAAACCTAAATACGACATTCAAAGTATTTATTGATTGGATTTTCCTAGATTTGTTTTCGCTTTTTCAATTAACTTCAACCTATATCTCCATATCTGCAATCATTTACTCAGCACATAAAAATTTAAAAACCATAACAAATTCAAACTCGAATAACGTACAAATCTGTACCAAGTATAAAATCATAAACTATATTTATCCTTTAAACAAGATGATAACACTAATAAATAGTGATTTAAGAGAATATGATAATATTGTCGCATATCATTGTTACTTGTTATAAAAGATATATTTCTTCATTTAGTTAACCGTTCCTAAATCATTAGCAAATGTGTTTAAGATTATATAATAATATCACAAATCCATATTATAAAACCAGAAATGTTGAAGGCCGTAGTAGTGGTGGTTGAAAGTTGGATGATATTGTTTTTTGTAAAAAAAGAATAAAAAATAAAAATAAAATAAAATAAAAATTATGAATCTTTATGAGATGATATATTTTCAAACAAATGAATTAAGTTTATAGGTTGAACATAAAATATTTTATGTTGGACAGTTTTTCCAGTAAAATATCTTGGATAAATTACAATAACTATCATAAAGTATTGTAAAATTATATGAACATCTAAAAGTTTGATGGTATTTTTTTTAAAAAAAATCTCATTTTGTATCCAAGATGCTCTTTATGTTAAAAAGAATGATTTTAAAAATATTAAGGATATTTTGGATGTAAAAGAAGATTTTTATAATATTTACTTAAATATGAGAGAGTTTCTATCAAATCTTTAAACTTTTAGATTATTCACGTAATTTTATAAAGGATTATATATATATATAGTTTACAAGAAAGCATAGTAAAGCATTTTCCTATAAAATATTTTATGCAAAACAAATGTCCCCTTAATTACTACTTAATTAATATAAACACTAAGATAAATTAATAATATATGATTATTTTTACTAAGTGATAACTAATTAGTACACTTACATATGCTAACTATTTAATTTGTATTTGGTTATTTGTCTAATAGTAAAACATATGCATGATTTGATTATATAGGATTTTCAATTACTTGTGTGTAATGTTTATAAGATAATTTAATTTATTTCGGTAGCCTTTTATATATATATGTGTGTGTGGTGTGTGTGTGTGGAAGGTTTAGCTCTGAATTGTATGTGAGCGAGTTTATTCATAAATTTATCAATTGAAATTTGAATTTTAGTGGAGGGTAAGAGAAACTATTGTGAATACATTATTCAGTATAAGTGTGACCTCCTTAAAATTTGATTAAGAAAGAAATTTAGTATTGGCATGTACAATGATGATCCAAAAAATATTTCTAGTAGGGTCATTTTATAATTTATTTTTTAAAAAAAGAAAATATAATTTTATTAATACTACAAAAAGTACATAGTAATTATAATTTCTACAGGACTTCAATGAAAAAGATATGGATCATAATCAATTCTAATCAAATGAAAAAAAACTTGTCCATTGACACAAAAACGATTGATCTTCCGAGTAGCATATCATCCTCTCAAATTCATGGACATCCAAATGAGTTCTTTGAGTTTCTCATTTGCAGATTATCTACGATATTACTTTTTTTTTCATATGTCTCAAACTTAGCAACCTCTTGCCACTCCTTATTAATAGAGGAATGTGCCTGCACTATTAGGCTTTTTTGATAGAAAAAACAAATTTAAAATAATGTGCTTGAAACTTTCTTCTACTAACAAATCCGACAACTATACCACTTGAAATTCACTAAGACTATAAATTCTTATTTCGATTCACCAAAGATTTTCAAAAGAACCTTAGTCGACACAATCCAACAATGAAAAACCTCACATATGGAGATAAAAAAAAGCAGTTGTAAACCGTATAGATATAAATTTATAATTATTTGGACAACTATAATCATCAAATTTAAACATATTTGAAATTATTAGGAAACAAAAGAGAGAGAGAAAAAGATAAGAAAAAAAGTTCTTTTTTTTATAACTTATCATTATTATAAAAATAAATGCATGTTTATAATATTGTGTATTGGTAAATTTAGTGTTTTTATATTATCAATAATAATTTAGTATTCTTGAAAATGAAAAATCATGAAAGTAATGTTATAAAAGAAATAGTAACAATAATAAAATTGAAGAGAAAAATGATGGAGAAATGATTTTACTATAAAATAAAGTGAATACAAGTGATAAGAACTTCAAATAATTCTTTCAATCCCTACAAAACACATTTATACAAACTAATGAATAATCAACTATATGTATAGACTTCAAAATTAGGAAGAGAATTGAAAGAAATTATGAATAATTAAAAAGTACATAAATAGTTGAATCAATTGTATCACCTTTTCAATTTCTCATATTAAATGGTGAATTAAATCATATTAAGAATTATGAGTAGTGAAGATGTGAAAAACATATGAACATTCATATAGATATTCATTATTTCATAACACTCTTCCTTGAATGTCTACCGTATAAGGAACATACTTCGTTAAAACCTTACTAGGAAAAAATCCAATGGGAAAAAAAATCATAATGAAGAAAAAAGAGTACGAGTATTATTTATACATGTTAATCTCTATGTTGGACTCCTTATATTAAAAACATCATTTAAGATCTATAAGATGATGCATCTTAGTCTTACGAACAATTTTCGCAAAAGTTATAATAGCTACCTTAGTGACTAAGTCCGTCGGATTATCACTTTGATGTATTCTTTCTTTAATTGAATTATACATGCAACATTATCTTTATATAATATTATTGAAACTTCATTGTAGGTAGATAAATTGCATGTCTCTCGGATATGATGGGTCATTGATCTTAACTAAACATATTCTCAACTTACCTTATGAATTACAAGTATTTCTACATGATTTGAATATGTAACGGCTACAGTTTGCTTCATAGAACATCATGATATAGTTGATCACGATGGGTAAATACATAACCCATTTATGGTTGAGTTTTGTATGGATCGGATAAAAAGTTGCATTTGCATAACCAATTAAACTCGAATTT